TTCGTACCCGCGTTCGGGCCCACGTCGTTCGTACCCGCGTTCGGGCCCACGTCGTTCGTACCTGCGTTCGGCCCCATGTCCCGTCAGCCAAGATTTTGATTTCGATTTCTTTGAGTGACTCTCATGTGCAACAAAGGTGGAGGACCTCCATCCCCGATGCACGGTCGTACCCAGGTTCGGCCGTACATTCACCTATGATGCTGTTTGCCCCCGTCAGTCAACCGATCACATGTAGCATCATAGGATGATGTACGGCCGAACCTGGGTACGACTGTACATGGGGGATGGAGGACCTCCACCTTTGATGCACGAAAGAGTCAATGATTCTCAGCAACATTCGAAGATCAAACCCGTCAGTGGACAGTTCAGTCTTCATTCATCGTGAATGCCTGCTGTGGCAGGACCCAGTCGTGGCGGCAAAGCTGATGAGATTCACACTCATGGCGCCCCTGGCCAGATTACCTGCACATGTGCTGCTCTTGATATTGCGTGTCAACATACTGCTGTGGGTAGGAGAATCTTGTAGCCACATCATGGGAGGTCCAGAGCCAAGTTTAGGTGTCATTGATCCCCGCCAGCATGGCCCAGTGGTCTTGGAAAACTCGATACGCCCTTCTTGGTGGACCTCATGTGTCATTTCCGGGTACCATGTTCAAGTTGCGTTGTGATTGTGATTGTGATTGTGATTATGAATGGAAACTACAGCCTTGGCTCTGAAGGCATTTGCCCTGGCTCTAAAGGCCAGCAGGGGCTTTGCACCACCAATAGCTATGGAATCCTATTTCAATCCCATGGAGATGTGGCGACGGATCCTTGCCATGGTCATCTATGTCACGAAGCGCTTGACACCTTTGGTCACCGGACTAGTGCCACCCTTACCTTTGATGTTCAACCAGAAGAGCACTTTACAAGCCCAGCTTCGAGGAATACCCAACGAGCCCAAGGATCCCTCCGACTCAACGAGCCAGGCTTCGTGGGACATCTTGGACGCAGTGGAGATGGAGAGCTCACACCAGAGAGAGATCACACCAGAGAGCCAAGACATGTCCAGTGGAGAGATCACACCAGAGATCTACCTGATGATGGGAACACCGCCACTGTGTCTTCATCGGAAAGGGGCCCAATCCGGAGCCGCAACGAAAAAACACTTTATTGGATGTGCCCTCTGCAAGGAAAAGATCGATGCGACTTCTTCGCGTGGACAGAGCATCAGCCCCTGATCAAAAGGACAGATCACAAGGTTGGGTGCAATCACCTCTACACAACCAAGGCCGGAACGAATGCCTTCAAGATCCAAAAAAGATGCCTGCAATGCCACAAGATCATCTTTGAAGAGAAGACTGCGCTTGGCGCGGCCAAGGCTTTAGAGAAGATATCGCGGAATGCACATATGCACCGCCATCAGGGCTAGGTAGCTTGACACACGAGCCCGTCATCGAGCGATACCGATTGAGTGCTGATAAGGCAAATGATGAATTAGCAATTAAAAGTTGTTGGCCCGGTATCTTGAGACAGCAGGACCTCCTTGCTTCAAAAAGGCGTTAAAAAGGGCGATGCTTCAGTAGGACCTTCTTGCTGTCAGGCGACGTAACAATTTACGTGTGCTTGGACGTTGTTACTTGTCCGGCCAGGCCATCTGCTCCGCTTGTCGGAGGCTTTGAACCACACATCAGACAAGTCCACTTTATAGTACAGCCTGAACATTGTATTGTAAACCAGATTTTCTGACAGAGCATTTGTTGAATTTAAGTCGAATGTTCTGACTTTGATTTTCTGAATCAGAGTTATTTTCGGACTATGATGTTCTGATTAAGTATTTTATCATTGGGTTTCTGTGATTTTCTGAGCATGATAGTTAAGTTACTATTTCTGAGTTTGATTTTCAGTTTTGCTTTTTGACTTTGATTTTGTAAGTGACGAGATGATGCAACTTCCCCGCTTGCAAGGTGTTGCCCACGGCGGTGCGCTCTGCTCTCCCCCAGGTCACGGACTCAGACTGTCAGTCAGACATGATGCTTCAGATAAATTGGCTGTTTTTACAGAAGCCTTCAGTCATGTTCACATTCAGAGGCCTTCATTACAAATTCTTAGTCTTTTTCATTCAGATTCACTGTCCTTTTCAGGTTCACATTCTTTTTCATTCACTTTCAAGAAATTGTTCATTCAGATTCACAAGAATCTTTGTCACATTCAGACTTACTAATGTTTTGCAAGCAACCTTGAACTTGCATTGATTCATGTATTTGCAGCAGTTTTGTGGTCAGCTACCGGCCCTGCCCACTGCCAAACAAATGTCAGTCATGTGTTCTCAAGCTAAATGGCAACGTTCCACATCAACCACTCAACACATCACACTTTCCACTGTCATCATTTTCCGACACTGTAGCTTAGGGCAATTACTGACCTTTTTAATAGCCTTCCTCTCAGCCATGCAGTGCCCGGCATGCGACAGACTGTTGCCAAAAAACTTCTTCGCAGATTCGTTGTGGAGGTGGCAACAGGGCGGTGGCCCTGAGCCCGATTGGGTGTGGTGCTGCAGGGCATGCGAGCTGCAAAAGCCGGTGGATCAGAAGACGACATGGTGGTTTTGGAAGAAATTCCTCTACCAGTTCAAAAAACTGGAGCGCCACGGTGTCCCAGAACTCCTTGAGGAATACTCCCAGGTTCATCGTGCCTCGCTCATGTTCAATGATTTGTCGGATGGTTCAATAGTTTAAGTCTGTATTGGTCGGACACATTTTCCATGACAAAACGCCACCATGTTGAATCTGTGTTGACTGTGTTGCTTCCTTTTTCAACCAAGGCAACGTCAACCATGATGCGTGGCACCTGCGTGCTGATGCACCTCGGCTGGGCCACAAAATCCCGGCTTTGCTGTTGCGTCTGCTGGGATGCAATCACTTCGACACGCCTTGTGGAGGCGGAAGGTGGTTCGAAGCGTTCATCGAGCACTCGCGACAGGCCAACTTGGACGATGTGGCTGACGCGATGGAGAAAAGTGCTTGGTATCTGTGGCAGACTTTGAAGTACAGCTCTTATGACCACAATGAAATAGATGCCATGATCAATGATCACGATCAGCGTTCAACTTCACAGCCTCGAGAAGGAGATCTGGAGCAAAGTAGGCTGGATGGATCG